TCTTCTCAAAGTCTAGGATGGAGTCATCATATGAGCGTAGCTCGCTTGGGAAGTCTTTGATCAGATATGTGTGCCACTCTACGTGCTTCTCTGCGGTATCTAGGTCCATACTAGGTCCCCATACGCCTTGTGATTCAATGATCTTTCTCTGAATTTCCCCGTTGCGCGCTAGGAGCGCCCAGCCAGTGTTAGTGGGTTTGATGTCTTGAATATCTTGGGGGTCCAACGCGAGCTTTTCTTTTAGTGCTAGTCGGATCTGGAAGTTGTTTTTCTCGAAGAAGCTAGATCCCTCCTTCAAGCGGAGGAGGATGCGGCGGTCTGTGTAGTTATTGGTCGCGATAGGCTGTCTGCGCGCAGGAGCGATGTGAACGTCCCCTGGGGCTTGTTGCGCGGCTGCTTTAGTGACGTCGGCGAAGCTCACTGTCTTGCGGCGGGTTGTTTGGTTATCTGTTGGCAATTTCGTAAGTGGTTTCTGGGCGGGTTGTAGTTTTGGTTGTGGCATCTCGTTGCTGAATCCTGCAGCTTCTCCTGAGTGGAGAAATTGGTTCCAGTGGCGGAGCAGGGACCTGGTGAAGTCGTTGGCGACGGCGTGGGCATAGCCATGGTCGAATTTTCTTGCGCAGGCGGCGATGGACTCTGCAAAGGTGCGTAGTACGTCGGCTCGGGTTGTCATGCGTTCCTTCTCCTTCGTAATGATCTTTCGTGTCTCGGTCTCCAGGTCGAGGGCGTCAAATGCGTCGGCGAATTCGTCCTCTTCGTCAGCAAGGACCCCGTAATAGTTGGCGTTCGGGTTCGCGTCTTTTCGGGGGTGTCGGCGTCGTCTCCCGCCATTGCTGGCGGCGTTTGTCGGGCGTCGCGTCGGGCTGCTGCTAGGCAGGTATGGGCGGGTCGTCACGGGGGCGGCGCCTCTCAAGAGCTCTTCCTGTGCATCATGGTGGAAGCCGTCAGGGAACTGTCGGCGGCCCCTTGCGCCGGTCGCAGGCGTGGACGATTGGTCGATCGCCATTGCCCGCGGCTGCGCAGGAGCGCTGAACGGATTGCTAGGTGCTGTTTTCTACTGGATTTGCGTGCGCGTTGCCGAAATTTTACTCTACAATGGTGGGTACCAGTGTAGATGTAGGAGGAAGGTTTTTCTCGGGATTCCGTGGCCAGAGTTAGAGTGAGGTTCAGGGTATCGCGGGCGGGAGTCAGGGTGCGGGCCAGAGTAACACACTCACACGCTAGATTGTTGAAAAAGGGGTCGGTAAGACTAAAACAGGCAAGTAACAAATCTTTTCGTGTTGTGAGCCTGCTTAGTGTAGGGCGTAAAATGGCTTGTCTTGTAGAGAATTCGTTTGTCCGATTACGACGGGATGAATAGCGGCTGAAGAAGACTACGGTGGCCGGAGACGCTGGCCGGTACTACTGGCCAGGACGATATGGTAGGCGAATGACCACGGATATTGTAACGGGCAAGCCGCTTGAGCGGCGGCTGTGCCGCCGAGTTTTTAGAAACTTCCATTAACTGAAGCTATAGAAGTGCTGTTATGCTCTCATAAAGTTGATTTACCTTTCTTTCCTCTTCATCTTGATAGAAAACAGCATAGGAACTAGATAGTTGAATCAACTTACTAGCGGCCTTTCACAGATATGTAGCATTGGCGAGAAGGTGGGAGACTACCTTCGATCGCTGTACACTCAACAAGCCAATGATGTGAAGCTATCAATGATAACTACTGTACTAGGGTTGCCTAGATACTGGGGCTTCCATTACATCCGGCTGGACAAACCGCGCCTCTAACGGAGGAGGAGGGGGGGCAATTCCTGCTTGTGAAGGACTGGGAAGAACCTAAAGACTGGGCCAGGACGATTGCGTGGTGGGATGGCAGGTGCGGCTTCCGCGCGGGGCGGAATCTCAAGGGACCGCACATTCTACATTCTCTGCAACAATGCACGAGGGGAGGCAAGAAAGCAATATAGGGCGACTTTGGAGAGGCGTTGTAGGTGGATGAAGTACTTCCTCCGAGTGGCTTCCGCCGGTGTCGTCTGCCTTTCCCGATCTGCGGTGCCTGGACGCAAGATGAGGCAGGCAAATGGGTGCTTCCACGACCGGGGACACCTGATTGTCAGTATAGTCCAGTGCTCCTGCGAAATGCCATGATCGGAGTTCTGGGCAGTGGCAACTCGTCATTACGCGAGGCTATGCATGATGCTGCTGAAGAATATTGCATCGGCGAGGACTTGGACGTATCGTTGTTGGGGAGACGGTCGCTTGTGCTCTGTCCGTCACCGTCACTAGTGAGGACGATGTGGTCGGTTCTGAGATGATGCGGGCTTTGTAGTGTATGACGAATGAGAATATGGAATATGAACGGGAATACCTAGCGTGGGATAATGGAATGTACTTAATCACTATCCCAGACTTTATGTGTATAGTAGTAAGTTGATTCAACTATCTAGTTCCTATGCTGTTTTCTATTAAGACGAAGAGGAAAGAAAGTTAATCAACTTTACGAGAGCATAATAGCACTTCTATAGCTTCGATCAAGGGAAGGTTCTAGAAACTCGGCGGCACAGCCGCCGCTCAAGCGGCTTGCCCGTTACATTCGATAGTGGTTTTGTGACTGCGTCATTTCCTATTTATCGTTGCTGACTCAAAAACGGCTTTTGTTCACTCTTGGGTGGCTTGACCTTACGACGCAAAGGACTATGTCGTGACTTCTCTGCATAGCATTATGTCGAAGCACGCCGTAGTAGTCCCTGGATCGGTGGAGGAGGCGAGTTTACTTTTAGAACACCGAACGTACGAACCCATCAATGTAGATAAATGACGACGGCTGGAATCGTGTGCAATACCCCCCTAATATACCTGATATAGACATATAAGGAAGGGCGATAGTAGTATTAAGTGGTCGTTTAGGCCGGCCAGGACCACTGACAGTTTGCCGCTCCGGACTTGACAGCGGAAATCCGGGTTCAAACCACGCTAGCACGAACTCTCTCCGCGGCGATCGGAGTTAAGCGACGGATGAATACTTTTTCTGACCTATTTACTAACCTCATCAAAGACTATCTCCGTGTGAAGACGTTAAGCGGAACTACTATGCTAAATTTAATCGGAGTTCCGGCAAAAAGTTTAATTTAAAAACGAGTAGACTACTAGGCATAGCAGTAATACACGTCTTTATACTAGACACTATATATCTAGATGTGTAATAAACTAAGACGATATCTCTTATTTGCTATAGTAGCTTGTCTTATGTATATAATACGGCCCTAAATGATCTCGTCCGGAGGTTTATAGTATTAAACTAGAGTAGAAGTGGCGGGGGTAAGTGATAGTGCTAAGGCAGGTGATGTACGCGCGGGCGAGGGGCTAGGTGCAGGAGATAGAGTAAGAAGCGTAGGCGTTAACATTATATATAATTAGGGTAGTAAGTTTTGAGTCATAGACCTAATAAGAATAAGTAGAAGTATTCTGGCGTTATCCGCTACGCTTGCCCCCCGCTGGCCCCTTTTCACTAAAGATGAAAACCGGGAGCAAAAAAGCAAAATCTAAGGGTTCTAGCCGTGTTATATAAAATCAAGCCACCCGGCGACACCAATCTCTCTAACTTAATCTATTTATAGCAAACTATGAAGGACCACGAAGACCGGTTAGTCTATGGTCTGGAGAAATGGTCAGACCAAACCAAATTTTAGCGGTCTAGACCAGACCAAGACCATGACAGACCAGGAAACTTGACTCCTCGAGGCAAGGGGAGAACCGCTGGCCTGCCTCTCCCCTTCGGCTATCTCGGAAAATTCTCTTTACTAGGCAACAAACTCTTCATAAAAAGGCTGTAGTCGTATTAATACCAGTCGTTTGATCATGTAATACTGGGATAGCCACCTGGTATCGTTGTCAATGACCACGTCGAATGGCCGTTGCTTTCCAATCTCGTCGTTGTCAGCTGCCGCAAACGAGTCTTGTTGGATTTGGCGAAGCAATGTCAGCACGTCCGACCGATGGACCCAAACGGCGAAGTTGTGAGCTTTGCCGACGGGGCCTCTCCGCACCCACGTGTCGTGCGCTGCCCTTGCCAATGCTTCGCCCTTGGCAACGGTGTCCTCAAACGCCTCGACATCTTTCTCGAACAAAAGGGACGACGAGATTGAGAATGTGGCCGACGCATCGAACGCGCCATCTCACCGGATCGAAGTGCAGCTCTTGCGCATCGCCGTATCGTTGTTCGCCGCATTGTCGAGGGTGAAGTAACGGACCTTATCCTCAGTACCGAACGAACGAATGATGTCAATGATATCAGCTGCGATGTTCTCGCCGGAGTGTCGTTCCACCAGCTCCGGAATGCCTAGAACAAGCTTTCGGAGCTGGTTGTCCTCATCTCTAAAGACTCTTGCACCAGCGAAAGCGATATGTATTTGGCCGGTGTAAAAAAGCCAATAGGGCTCATTAGCTAAGTTACTTTATATGTCCGAAAGTGGCGTCTCTGTCTCCTATAAGCCTATAAGCGGCCATCCTCCTCCTATTTCTGCTCTCGTCCTCGTCTTTTCCCTGGTAGCACGGGTTCTCGTGCGGTGCTTATACTATATTAACTAGCTAGCTTAAAGGCTATTCCTTAAGTATTTAGCGTCTTATCTATAGTAACTAAAGCGGCGCCTATTATTAGCGATATAAGTATTATATATAGCAGTTATTATTTAGTTAGCCTATGACTATTATAAATTATATTATCGCTTAAACCGCCTTTATATTTAGCTTCTATTTTAGTCTATCTAAGGAGACTTCCTACTAAGATAGAACGAAAGGTTACCTCTCTAAGTTTTAGTATACTCTATTATCTCTCTTTAATAGGTCTCCCACTTTAGGCAGCGGAATAGAAAGTATTTAATAGTTTCGCGTTTAAGTTTGTATATATATTAACTTAGTAGCACCACTATATCTAGTGTAGATAGCCATTTAGTCTAATCATATAGGTCCTAAGCAAGGCTAGCACTATTTTCTCGTTCTATGGTCGAAAATGCAAGATGCGTTGCCAGAGCCACTAAATCTGGCGGGTTCTGCCGCCGTGTTTAGCGGCAAAAGCAGTAAGGGAACTAATACTCTAGTGTAACGATGGCTTAATCCTAATCCACAGTTGGTCTGTTTCTTAGGTAGTGAGTCAGGTTGAACGCTACAGAGTAGCAATGAGCAGTATCTTCGGCGTAAGGTCTCGTTAAGAGTAGAACTCTCAATAGTGAAACTATTGCTTAGATTGATCAGTAGAGATCTAGACTACCTAGCCATGGGAATACCTCCTCCTTAAGTACCCGTCTATCTCTCTACTGTAGACCTGGATCGATAGGCTCGACGTTCGATCCCCTAGATCCTACTTCCTGGATCGATGGCTCGACGGCTCGAGTCCTCGATCCTGGGGAGGTCACGTGACCTCTCCATCTTTTCTGGGTGCTGATGCGTCGGACCCTGGTCCGCCTCACTCAGCCCCGCGTACACGCCGCAGCGTTTGTAACATCTAGGCCCACCCCTATTAGGTACTATGTACTTTAGGCGGTCTTAGTTATATAACTGACCTACACCCGCCCCTAACTATAGGAGCTTACTTACTATGTTAATTCTCGTTTCCTACTATTAATTAGCTATTATCTTATTCTTACTACCTCTAAACTAGATGGAGCGTATGAATTATGGTCTCCTGACCCGGGCGACTTATGCGTGGGTGCCTGGGTGAGTGGCTTTGTGGAGTCGTGCGACCTACGCGACCTACGTAACGTACGAAATCTAGTAACCTGATTATAGCATTAAGTATACTAAGCATATATTATTAATAAGCCGGCTTAGGCAACCACTAAAATGTAGAAATCCCCTACTAGCTATAAGAAGGGCTACTTAATTAGTATACCTCTATATTTTTTATCCTCCCTTTCTCTCTTTATGTTATGTTTTTATCTTTACTATATATAAGAGACTACTAATAGTTATAGGCATAAGAAATAACCTAACTAATATTATTAACTAGGCCTAGTCTAATGGCTTTAAAAGTAGTCTATATTATAAGTAGGATAAGAAGATAGGCCTATAAGAGTATAATAAAAAAACGTTAGGCATATAGGACTAAGTTCTTAAAAGATATACTATATAAACTCTTCGCCTCTTATTAATAATCATATACTAATATCTAGTAGTTAGGCGTTTAGATACCTACATAATAAATACATTACTATTTTTAAGGAGTTTAAAGTAATACTACTTTATAAGGACGTATTATTACTAGAAATACGCTACTTTAAAGACTTTTAGCGATTTTATAAAAATTAGGCTTAAGGTAGGTTAAGTGAACGGCTCATAGCCCGTAGCCTAAAGGCTAGCGCAAAGAGCTTTAATAGTGGTTTTAAATAATGTACTAGTAATAGTGTGCCTACTAAAACTATCGTAGAAATTGATTTAGTACGTACCCTACTACTTTCTTTTACTATAGCTATTGAAATATGAAACGACATGTTTTTTATGATTTAGTGGGAACTCCAGCCATGTTTCTCCGGAGGGTTCCGCCTATGGAAGTGTGTGTAAGTTCCGGCGCAGATGGATAGGGACGTATCGGGGACTCTTAGCGTGTGCTAGCAATTTTGTTGGCTGTACAACAGGGGAAGTGGTACGTGCATGTAGCTGGGCGGAAGCAGCACTACAGACTCAGGTGGCAAAATCGTTAGGATCCTGCTAATCGTCATTGTCGGGGTCTCAGCTGGTAAACAATGTGTAGCACTGAGATTTGACAAATAGCTCGGGAGACAGGTAGATCTCCGTTCCTGTCAATGTGTCCATTATGGCTGAAGTCATTTTGCTTTGGGGTATTACTTTCAGTTCGCCACCTTGTCTAGCAATGAGGGCATTGTCAGGTTGAAGGTCCCGATGGGTGATGCCGTTCGCGTGAAAATATGTTAAGGCACTCCCGAGATGAGTTATTGCAATTAATCGGTCGCGTTCGTCAAAGGTAAGTAGAGCTTCTCACAGATTTAATGGAACAAATTCGACAATATCAATGGTGGTAGAGTTAAGTCTTCGGCCGCAACTAAGTCGAACGCCTTAACTATATATGGCTTGCATGATATATCAGTATATTGTGGTGAGCATTAGTATGCGTGGATCTACTTTCGTGATCAAGATGCTTGACATGGGTGTACTCCATTCGCAAGGCCTCAACCCGCTGCTGTGCGATATTCGCGTTGTAACTGATCTTGAAGTACGGCTCTTTCGCTACAAAGTACTCCCCGGTTTCTGTATTTTTGGCTTTCTTTACCGATGCGTGTGAAACGAAATTCTTTCGCGGGACTTCGCTGTCTCTGGGTATGCGATAACCTCAAAACAATATCATTAGGCTTCTTTGCTCCAGTGACTAGGTGTTATGTAGACCATGCTTCTCTAATCGTGATATCATATGTTTGACGTCAACCTTTTTGTGCGCATAAAGTCTAAAGTTCTTAGCCAAAGGCTTGTAGGTAGAGCGAAGAACTTCCGCGTTCTGAGCTGTCGGCTGGTCCGCAAATTGGCCTCGAGCTTGAGACTGGTAGGGGAGACAATAGGTTGGGCGCTCGAGCGAGGTACCTCGATGATAGGCCGGAGGCTGCGAGGACACATGCCCTAGCATAGCTAGCCGTCTTTTTGCTTACACCAGAGCTACCTAAGCATCAACATAGCATAACATAACTTTAAGCGTTTGTGCCGACCTTATTTTGTATTGTTGATGTTATAACGTTGTAATGCCAAGAAACTTCCCTAGAACGTGGATGTTCTTAGAATTTCCTCGAAAATAGAGACGCCTGTAAAGCCGACTGACCTGAACTAGGTCTGTGGG